GGGTTGCCCACCCTCTGATCACTGCATCTCTTCTTCCTCTTGGGCGTGAGAGGGGCACTGCCTCCCACCCCGTTTCTGCACCCCGACTCACTGGCTGAGACCCTGGGCGATGCTGGGCGGCAGAGCAGGCCCCGCCCTGCTGCCCTGCGTGTGCTGTGCGCATCCGGCCCCCGAGACGCCCAGGAGGGGCAGGCAGGCTTCAGCAGGAGCATCTCAGTGTGGGGCTGCAGCGCCCCCAACCAGGCCCCCCCATGCTGCTCCGTGGCCCCTCGGCGCCCTTCCAGCACCGGCCTGACCCGCGTGTCCGAGCTGCCATGCGGCTGTGCTGCCTTGTTTGTTCTGTTCCCTGTGCCCTGCTCGGCCCCTGCCTCTCCTGGGCGGCCCTTCCCGGCCTGTCCGGACGATACACGTAGCCTTGTCACAGTCCAACACAAACCATTTTTAAACAAAAACTAGAGGAACTACTTTGACCTTTTACCAAGAAAATCTTTTCATTCCTGCCTCCCGCTCTTGTTCTGAATGTTTTTCCCGTAAATGTCAAAAGGGGCCAATTCCCCGGCAGCTGTCAGGGGGAGACAGGAACTCCAGGCAGGGGCACGCGCGGGGAGCAGGGGCAGGAAGGGAAAGACAATCTCCATAGGTGTGACCCTGCTTGGGCCTGGCCAGCATCCCAGGGAGCTGGCTTCGTCCAGGGCCACCGAGGGCCCTAAGCTGGCCTCTGTGGGTGAGGTTGGAGCCCCCAGCCCCTGCCCTCCTAACCTGACATCACACGGCACTCAGTTTCCCCCACCCAGGTATGGGGGTGGTCCCTGGCCCCATCTCTCTCTGAGTGGAAACAGTTGTCCTCTGAGCCCCTCCCCAGCCCCTGCAGCTGCGGGGACCCCACCTTTCCCAGAACAGACCCTTCCTGGGAGCTGCCGGGGCTGTGACCAGACTCACAGGCAAACCCGAGCAAAGTGCAACGTGAAGGCCACCTCTAGGCCCACCATGCACCTCCCATCAGCACCCAGGACCTTCCCTGAGCCAGACTCTGCACGGCCCCCACAAGGGGACCAGGGTGGTGACGGAGGGCACACGGGTGTGGGGGGCAGGGTGCAGGAAGCAAGAACGATGGGGTGCTCCCTGCTTTCAGACCCTCAGAGCAAAAACGCGCGTGTCAGCTCGTGACCTGCAGCTGCCCTGCAGCCCCGGGGGCCAGCAGGCAGGACCCCGACAGGAACCCCCAGCCACCAGGCTCCCGGCTTCAGTTGGCCTGGGCCCTGGCCTCCACAACCCCACCTCCCTGGTGCCGGCCTCCTCAGCCCAGGGCTCCTGCTTGCATGCTGTTCCCTGGTTGGAAGGGGCCCTCGCCTCCCCAAGCCGGCCACAGCCCGGTGCTATCAGAACGTGCTGAGTGAGTTATGCTGCGCCATCAATCTTGGGACCTCGCTCTGCCAGGCTCAAATATCACCCGGTCCCCAGGTACCGTGTAAATCACCATAATTACGGGCTATTCACTTAAAATTAGAGCCCCATTCTTTAAAAAGCAAATTGCTCGGGTAGACGTGCTGGGTGCTGGCCGTGGCCCAAGGATTTATGGGCTGAAGCGGCCCCGTGCCCTGGCTGAACTGCCCCTTGGTGCTTGGTGGTGACGGGCGCCCATGGAGGGAGGGGCACCCAGCTGGCTCCGCACCTCCGACCCGGCCAGGCCTCCTTCCCAGGCCTGGAAACCGAGCGCTTAACCACTGCAGCACCAGGATGCTGGGCAGTTATCTTAATATTCTCTATACATGATGGCTGTACTATGGCTATGATGGACTGAAATGTGTCCCCACAAAATATTTCTTGAAATCCTGTACCTGTGGATGGAGGAGTCCCTGTGGCACAATGGCTAAAGTGCTTTATTGTTAACTGAAAGGTTGGCGGTTCAAACCCACCAGATGCTCTGTGGGAGAAAGATGAGGCAGTCAGCCTCCATAAAGGCAAGACTCACTGTTGTCGACTTGGTTCTGACTCATAGCGACCCCTCCTTGGGTTTCTGAGGCAGTATCTCTATGGAAGTAGATTGCCCCATCTTCTTTCCAAGGAGTGGCTGGTGGGTTTGAACCGCCAGTCTCCTGGTTAGCAGTCAGATGCCTTAGGCACTATGCCACCAGAGCTACCCCATAAAGGTAACAGCCTTGGAGCTGCTACACCTATGGTGTAGTCCTACTCTGCCCTCTAGGGGCGCTGTGAGTCAGAATCAACTCCACGGCAGTGGGTGTGGTTTGGGCTTTGCTTCCGTGAAGATTGACAGCCTTGGAGACCCTGTGGGCAGTTCCACTCTGTCCTCTGGGGACGCTGTGGGTCAGAATGGACTCCACGGCAGTGGGTGTGGTTTGGGCTTTGCTTCTGTGAAGATTGACAGCCTTGGAGACCCT